CACCGCGATTAGCTCTTCCAGTGTTGGTCTCCCTAGGATGCAGTTGTAGAGGGACGGGCAATCAATGACGAGGAAGCGCACCTTGACCCGCCTCGTCGCGGTGCCCTCGCCGAAGGTGACCATAAGCTCGACATATCCCCAAGGTTTGGAGGTCGAACCGTTGAAGCCCTGTAAGTCCGACCCCATATACGGCGAGAGGTGCGAGTCGTCTAGCCAAAGAGTCCTGAATAATTGATTGTACATCACATCGACGAAACTTCCTTCGTCGACGAGGATGTGGTGCACGTCAAAGTTGGCCATTCTTGCTCTTATCAGTAGAGGAATGACTGCGTTGGGGGCTCCCCCGGGAAGCTCTTCGAGGTAAAAGGTGATAGGCTCCGACCTACCTTTCACCCTTTCAAAGGTCACTGTCTGGGGAGGTGCAGAGTCGACCAGTTCATCCAGCTTTCTCTTGGCCGAATTGATGGTTAGGTCGTTGAATCCTCCACCATTGATGACCATGGTGGAGGGAAAGTATTCCCACCTGCTGTGCATTGTGAGTGGCTCCTGCAGGTGTTTGGGGACGTAGAAGTCCTCCGGCCTGGTGACGGAGAAGGCGATCTGGACGGGGACCGACTCGTCGGATAGTCGAGCGTCCTCCTCCAATTCTCTTGTCTCCTGGGCGTCGCAACGAGGAGCACCGTTTTGCCGGTATTGGGCGAGCCTCCCTCCCTTGATGAGGGTTTTGATGGCGTCCTTCAGGTGGACGCAGTCTTCAGTCAGATGACCATGGCTCCTATGGTACTGACTGTATTTGCTCTTGTCTACTCCGGGCTTGGCAGGAGCAGGTCGAGGGCGCCTGACGCTGCCATCTTTAAAATCCGTGCTGGCACACTCTGCCAAAATGCGCTCGCGGGAAGCTGTGAGCGGAGTGTACTCTGTAAAACGCCCCGAGGGTCCTCTTTGATCTCGGGCTTCTCGGGGTCTGTCCTCTTTTCTTTTCTCCCTGGTTCGTCGAGGAGGAGCGGCTTCTTGGAGCGGGTTTCTGCTAGATCCGCGAGTTCTGGGGTCCCGGGCTCTGTTGGCCGCCTCCCTTTCCTCGTAATCCATATATGCGCGGGCCTTCTCGAGGAGAGCATCGAATGTTCGGGGTGGTTCGATGCCCACTGCCTTTCTGAATTCTGTGTCGGGGAGGAGCCTCCTCTCCAGCAAGTACCTTTTCATGTGGTCTGCGCAGGGGACCTGTATGGCCTCGCGATTGAAGCGATTAATAAATTCTCTCAAGGTTTCATCCTGTCTCTGGATGATGGCCTCGAGTGTTGCCTCGGTCTTTGGGTGTCGCCGAGACGTAGTGAACGAACTTATGAATTGATTCTTCAGGTTTCGCCACGAGGTGATTGATCCCGGGGCGAGGCCTTTATACCAATCCATTGCTGCCTTTCTGAGGATCGTGGGAAACAACCGGCATTTGATGGGTCCCCCGACATTATGGTAATGCAGCATAGCCTCGAACCCGTCTATATGGTTGACTGAGTCCGCGACTCCGTCGTATTCTTTCAGATGTGGAGGCTTCTCCATGCCCAGGGGAATGGGTGCCTCCATGATGGCTTGTGACAGGGGACCGTGGGGGTCGTCCTTGTCACTTCGCTCCGGGGACAGGGATGGGGACCTAAGATATTGTCATGCCCGACGGTCTTGGTCGTGCTGGGTATCCCTCGAGCGGGGTGCTCGTTGGTCAATTCTTTCGTGCCTGTCCCCAGAGTGTCTTCTTTCTTGCCGTATGGGGCCATGGTTGCGCCCTCCGGTTTCAATGGCGGGTTGCCTTTCCAAGGGGGGTCGTCTCCCTGACGGTCGGGGCGACGGGCTTTGGGAGGTGTCTCTGCATTGTCTCCGCGGGGGAGATGGGAGATGTACCTCTGTTACTCGAGGAGGTGGAGTCTGAGGCCTCCTGTGTCTCCTCGCGGGTCTTCTATCGTCTTCTAACACCCTCAATCTTTCCCCCTGGGCGAAGATGAGGTAGTTGGTTTGATTGATCACCGCGAATAGTGCGCGGGTTGTGGCATCTACCCCGGCGGGGACAGGGACTTCCTGAAACTGGGCAGCTAAATAGTTTGGGGGAGCTGCATTGTCTTCTTCGAGCGGCGGAGGGACTGAAGAAGATGAGGCAGTAGCTCCGTCGCGGTGGACCGCGGGCCCGGGGATGGTGCCCCTGGGGAGTGTGTTGTAGCCGGGGTTGCCGGTGTTGTCGGGGATTCCGTTTTTATCCGCGAGGTTGTTATTGACGTGGACGACGTGGACGTTCTGGTCGTCCCGAGCTTGGTCAGCCATAACGGTTGGAGGTGATTTGAGCTTTGGTCTTCGAGAGTTTGCAAGACGGGGAAGCTAGATTACCGTAGACGGCGCCACTGATCTTACCTGATCAGACTTGGACCGTCACGACTGGTTCCGGATAGAATTTGAGTGAGATGGGGGGGGTGGGGTACCTGCAAGACACTCCGATGCTAAAATGAGTGATGGAATGAGCAGGCAGAAAGTGTATAAGTGCGTAAGAGATGAATACCCGACCCTCTGGGAACAGAGGGTATTTATAACCCCCAGCGTTGGGCCAAGGTCCCCTCATTGGGCCGACCAGAACGGGCCCAATAAAGGAACTGCCAGGTTCTACGTGTGTAGTGGGGCCCCGCACGTGGTCCCCTTCCTGGTGATGCTCTGCGAAGATTGAGGAGGGACGAAGACGCGGTCTTTCCGGAATTTAGATGATTCGATAACGGTCAGAGAGGACAGAATCTGCCCTACGGGGAGAGTGCTCGAGCAGGGCTCGAGCTGGAGTTCCCTTGGTCGGGAACACCATGTGTCACGGACAACGGCGGGCATGACTGCAATCTGTGGTCGGGCATGCTGGAGGGAATCCGCGGGCGCGCATTCCTCGAGGAGCTGCTTGGATTGGGCCTTTATCCCTGCTTTTTGGGCCAGGGCGAGTCCAGTCCAGAACAATTACTATAGTGGATTAGAAAAATGACTAAATTGAATTAGATGAAATGTCTATTAAAATATACTTTATTTCCCTATTTAAAAAATTAGAGTGTGTATTAGATTGAAATTTTAAAGATTTTTTTATGATAAAATATATTTAAGATATTCAATCAAAACATTTATAAAATACAAATAAATCATTTATATTAAATTAAAATAATTATTGATCTAAAATAAAATCTGAAGTGGCAACGCTTATTAATATTATATAATAATATAAATAAATTATTGATAACAAAAATAATAATTGTTTTCAAAACAATAAAATCAGTTGGTCTTTTATTCAATTATCTTACAACTTATAAAAAATCTCTTGATATTAAAAAATAATAGAGATTGTAAAATATTTTAAGATTAAATAATGTAATTTTCTGTGTAAAGTTTTAGAGTCAATCTGATAGTTCGATAGAAATAATGAAATGATTGAATAATTATGACATTCTTTACATTAAAGAAAAGACATGAAAAAGAGGTCGTAGTTACAAAAAAATCATGAAGTTCATAAGAAAGACATATTGATTAGAGGAAATTTTGATGGTAAGTCCAAAAGTGTTTCTTCTCTTGTCAAGCCAAAGGATAATCAAGGTAAAATCTTTGGAACTTTTATCTTATGGAATAATATTGTTATAGTTGACAAGAATCAAGTTGTTATGGATGCAATTGATGTCTTTAATGATTATTTTTTTAAGAATGTGATTCATATTATTCTGTGAATGTTGAGGTTCTCACCTATGAAATTGGTACTGATAGCCACATATATAATGTGCTCACTCGCTTTGAACCTAAATATATTAGAGATGTCAATGAAGATGGTAATGAAGATGTCAACTAGGACGAATCAGACAACTTGTATGACATGTTAGGTGACTGAGTTTTCAACTTAGAAGAAGGATGAACAAGTTATCCCAGATAATTGTAAAGTGAATGAGGTGAGTAACAAAATTGATGACCTTGCCGATGAGATTTTTACCATTAAGAAATTCCTCAAAAAATGAAAGAAGATTGCTCATAGCATTGCAGAGCGGGATGTCGAGAAACTTGTCACACACATATTGTATTACACTGTTGATAATGTGAAGATTAATGAGCATGCTGTTGTAAATATTAAAATGTATAGCGAAAGAAATAAGCTTCCTAAGAATTCTCCATATGTTCCTTTTTATTTTGAAGAAAGAACAATCTAATAAAATTTTACTTACAATACTACAATGTAATTAAAGAACTTCCTAGTGATGCTCACTTATTGAAGACAACGTTGAATGCCCAACCTTGTTATCCTAAGTTAGTGAAGCAGTTTTTAGTTGAACTTCCTATTGATTTCCCCTTTTTAAATTATGGTGTAAAGAATGACCGTATTACTCATAAGTTGTTGCATTTCAATTACAAATTATTTGTTGGAAAACATGTCCTTGACATTCGTCTTACTAATGTTCTTATTGTCATACTTCAAATTTACTCACTTTTCATACTCTTTTAGGTGTCATTTTATTTCAAATGAGTGCAACAGCCTAGTGGATAGAAAAGTGAGAATAAGAAATACAAATAAAAAAGGTTTTGAGTTTAAATTCCACCGACCTCTATATTTTTATTTTTTTTCTTCACTTTTTTGCTTTTTTCATATTAAGTTTTATTTTTTTCCTAATTTTATTATAATTATTAGAATTATTTTAATTTTCTATCGTTATTATTATTAACCTTTTTTTGCCATTAGCATTATTATTACTAATGTTATTATTTTGTTGTTATTTCTATAATTAAGCATTATTATTAGTTAGTTATTGTTATTATAAATAAATAAATAAAATTCCAAAAGTCCCAATCTAAAACACGCTTTCTCCCCAAAAGAACACACATACCATAAACAAATCTTCTTCCTCTCTCACAAATTCAACCTTAAATCATATACAAACCAACCCAAACTCTCAACAACAACAACAACCTGCAACTTACAAAACATCCATAATCAAAACCTTTCATCCAACCTTACATCAAGCCACGCTGGAAGTCCCTCCCGAGACTAATCCGCCGTAAGCTCCTCCACGCACCATTACCGTCAGCCACCGACGGTCGCTCAGCCGCTCTCCCCGTGTAAAGCCGTCATTGTGGGTATCTCATTCCTTTTTTCGATTTTTCAATTGTTGTTGAACTTTCATTTTGTTTGAATTGTTTGATTGAATCTGTCGTTCTGTGGTGTTTGAACATAGAGAGAATGAGAGATAGAAAGGGATTGATGAGAACGAGAAAGAAGAAATATTTTTTTCCTCTAATTATTATGCCACGTGTCATAGTAATATTGGTCCCTAGCTTTGTTTTGAAATACATTGGTGAGTATTTTTTGAGGGTTCAAAAGAAATACATTGTTAGTTGTGATGATGAGATCGGTGCTACTCTAAGTATTTTGGTACATCTTCATAGCACTGGAATAAATATTTAATTCACTTCTATGTCTTTCCTCAAGAATACTCTTCTTAAGTTTTGGAATATTCAGAACACACACTCTATTTGCGAACCTCATTACACCATCCTCATCAACCTTGAACTCTCCTCCATTACCTTGGTTAATCGAGGTCAACTGATCGACCAATTTCAAATCAAACTTCTGACCTTCTCGGATTTCTTCTAAAATATCACTAGTCAGTTTCAACATTCTCAAATTCACACTATCCGAAGTCTCTCAATACACCAAGCTCATATCTCTGAATTGTTCGATCATTTTTAACTCCCGAACCATAAGCATCGACATATGCAAGAACTTCCTACTCAACGCATCAGCTACCACATTTGTTTACTAGGATGATAATTCAAATCAAAACCATACTCCTTCAACAACTCAAGCCATCTTCTCTGCCTAATGTTAAATTCCTTCTGATCGAATAAGTACTTTAAACTTTTGTGATCACTCAACACTTTAAATTTAGAGCCAAAAAGATAATGTCTCTAAATCTTTAACACAAACACCACAACTGCTAATTCTAAATCATGCGTAGGATAATTCCTTTCATGAACCTTCAGTTGCCTAGAAACGTAAGCAACAAGCTGTCCATTTTGCATCAACACACCACTAATACCCATCTTAGACGCATCACAATATACCACAAAAGACTCACTCGGATTCGACAAAATTAATACCAGAGCAGTCATTAATTTCTTCTTCAATTCTATAAAACTTTCTTCACATACAACATCCCACACATAAGCTTGACCCTTTCGAGTCAACTGAGTTAGCGGTAACGCCAACCTAGAAAATCCTTCAATGAACCTTCGATAATAACCCGCCAAACCAAGAGAACTTCGAATCTCAGTCGCAGACTTCAGAGTTTCCCATTGCAATACTACATCAACTTTAGAAGGATCCACGACAATCCCATCACTAGAAATCACATGGCCAAGGTGTTTAAGTAAACTCTGTCATACGGTGGGAGAACTGTCACACGCCCTTCACTGTTAGACTTTGCTTTGGCTGCACCAATAATATGGTTGAATATGAAGCGTGCATCATGGGCATTAAAGCTGCTATTGACCTGAGAATCAAGTTCTTAAACATGTATGGGGACTCGGCCCTGGTAATCAGTCGGGTCAAGGGAGAATGGGATAGAAAGCATCTAAATCTTATCTCTTACCGGGAACATCCAAATCCGTATTTTGAAGAGATTACTTTTGAGCATATACCAAGAGAAGAAAATTAACTGGCAGGCGCATTAGCTACTATTTCATCCATGTTCAAGGTCAGATGAGACAATGAGGCTCCAGAATTACCATTGAAAGATTTAATGAACTGGCACACTACTATAAAATTGACACTGACGGAGTAGAGGAAAAATCTTGGTTTCATGAGGTGAAAATGTACCTTGAGGCTCAAGAATACCCTGAAGGGGCATCCATCAACGACAAGAAGTTCCTACAGAGGTTCTCAGCTAAGTTCTTCTTGAGCAATGGAATTCTATACAAACACAATCATGACTTAACCCTGTTTCGTTGTATGGACAAGAAAGAAGCAGAAGAAATTATGCAAGATATGCACGAAGGTGTCTTTGGTACTCACTCCAGCGGGCATACTATGGCTAAAAATATTCCGAGGGCAGGTTACTATTGATCGACTATGGAAACTGACTGTCACCACCACTCGAGAACTTGTCATAAGTGCCAAAACTACGCTGATAAAGTTCATGTGCCTCCAGTACCTCTGAACGTCATGATTGCTTCGTGGCCATTCGTAATGTTGGGCATTGATATGATCAGAGAAGTCAAGCCTATTGCCTCTAACAAATATCACTTCATCCTCATCGTCGTTGATTACTTTACAAAGTGGGTGGAAGCAGCTTCGTTCGCCTCTGTTACCAAGAATGTGGTCCCCCGATTCGTCAAGCACAACCTTATCTGTCGGCATGGCATCCCCGAGAGAATCATCACGGACAATGGTACTAATTTCAACAACACTATGATCACCGAACTCTGTATGCAGTTCAAGATCAAGCACCATAACTCTTCTCCGTATCGACCAAAGATGAATGGTGCAGTGGAAGCCGCCAACAAAAATATTAAGAAGATTATACAGAAGATGGTTGTGACCTACAAAGACTGGCACAAGATGTTACAGTTTTCTCTCCATGGCTACCACACTTCGGCTAGAATATCAACTGGGGCAACCCTATTCTCTCTGGTTTACGGCTAACTGTCAACATCCTCTATAACATTGACCCCTTGTTGCTGATATGGAACGAAGGTCTTTCAGCTCGAGCGTGACGAACAACCCTTTGGCCTTCTGCAGTAAAGCCCAAACCAAACTTTTCAGATTTATAAGGGATATCAGGAAGCTAACCCCAAATTGTACAACCACCTTCTTCTATAGTAGCCTTGACATCTTTCAAGGAAGCAATCTTGTGCGGACTCCTGGTGGTCTTCGGAATGGCAGAAACATCTTTAACAACAACAGGGGAAATCACTTTAAAGGTCGGACATGGAGTCTCGATAAATTCTTCTTCCATCTCCACGTATCAGAATGAATTCAAGTGGATAACCATGTTTTCCTCTTCTCCACAGACAGTAACAACCCTCCCTTTTACAGGATACTTCAATTTTATGATGCAAAGTGGAGGTGACAGCGCCTGCCCCATGGATCCAAGGGCGTTCCAATAGACAAGAATAGGTCGGTCGGATGTCCATTACTTAAAGGGTGGACTTAAATATTTGTGAACCCACCTTGATTGGGAGGTCCACTTCTCCATGCACCATTCTTTTGGATCCGTCAAAGGCTCGAACTATGATATTATTGGGCTTCAACATAACCCCTTCACAATCTAATCTGTCGAGAGCGCCTTTTGGCAGAACATTCAGAGAAGAGCCAATATCAATTAACACATGAGCCAACGTAGTGCCCCTGCATTAAATGGAGACATACAAGGCCCTATTATGATTTCTCCCCTCCGGAGTCAGGTCAACATCGGAGAAACCTAATCCATTATCAGTTGTTAAACTCGCCACGTAACTTCCAAATTGATCAACCGGAATTTCTTGCGGCACATGAGCAGTCTTCAGGAATTTTACTAAAGCCTGCGCATGGGCTTCAAAAGACAGTAGTAAAGATAGCATGAAGATTTTGGACGGGGTTTGCCCCAGCTGTTCAACAATTTTATAATCGCTTTTGCGAATGATTTTCAAAACCTCTTCCAACTCTTGTCCAGAGGTATATTTGACTGTAGCTTCTTTTGGTGCCTCCTTCTGGGCAGACTCTACCATTGGCTCTTTACCCCGGGCCTCGACAGTCGACTTGGTAACTGTGACTTGAGCAAGGGGAGAGATTTCCGGGGAGAAAATCCTCCCGCTTCTTGTAACTTTGTTAGGCCTTGCAATATTGACAATGTTGGGATCAACCTCTTCATCATCTCCATTAGCCAACTCTTGTTTAATGCCATGGTAATAGACGTCAGACCCATAATTCCATGGAATAGCCTTTTCCGAGGAATATGGGATGAGCCCAGGTGTTGTAATAATTAAAGGAGCAACTTTTGGATTGGCGGTAATCCTCACAGGACCCTTGGAAATGATCCTGAAAGGAGTACCGGATATGACAGGCAAATCTTGGCACAAATTTTCAGTAGAAGAAACTTTTTCAATCAAAATAACATGTTCATCCATCAGGCGCTAAACGCCTTCCTTCAGTAACCTGCATCCATTAGGTTGGACTGCACAATAATAACATTCTCCACACAAAGAAATAAACAGACTTGTAACAAATTCTTCTTGATTGTAGAGAGAGGAGTAACCACATCACTTACAGAGGTAACATACAAAACATCTTCAATAACACTTATGCCCTTGTCATGCTTGGGCATAGGTGCAGTGATCACGTTCGGAGTCTCCGGAGGATCGAACTCAATTTCCTTATTATCGATCATATCCTGGATCTTGCTCTTCATGTCCCAACAATTGTTGGTGTCGTGCCCAGGACTGTTTGAATGATAAGCACACCTCGCATTTGGATTATACTTTGGAGATAGGGTGTTGGGATTCTGAGGAGGATCCCGTAGTGAAATGAGTTTAACCTTCAACAAATGCTGTAATGCCTGAGATAAAGGCATGTCGATCTTGGTAAACTGCCTCAACATAGCGTCTGGCCTTTGTCGGTTGCCCTGTTGTTGTTGTTGAACAGGCGCTGGATTAGAAATCAACACCGCTCCCACAGACTGATGGTGGTCATTTTTACTACGGCTCTTCTGGCCATAGACAACATTGGTTTCTTTTTTACCTCCAAATAGCTTCTTCACAACATTAGAAGATGTAGCCATCAGAATCTTCCCACTTTTAATACCACTTTTCACTCTTTCTCTAGTCAGTATTAGCTCCGTAAAACCAGACGACGAGCTTCGAATTAACAGATTAAAGAATGGGCCTGTCAAAGTGCCCATGAACATATCTACCAATTCCCGATCAGTCAAAAGAGGTTGCACCCTTCCAGCTAAATCCCTCCATTTATGTGCATATTCCTAGAACCCTTCATTCGAGCCCATGGACATATTTTACAGTTGCACTCGAGTCGGCGCCAGGTCAGCATTATACTGATATTGCTTGTAGAAAGTAGCATCCAAGTCTTCCCATGTGTGAA